TATTCCCAAACGTTTCGCCGGCTGTCTATGCACACAAATATTCTTGTTTAAACAGCCATTCAGGCTCTTATGCAAACTCTGTTGGAGCATCCAGAGAGCATTCAGGGAATAAGGCTGAGTATTGCCTCCATCCTTAGACTTCTTAACTTATCCATGTATATCAGCCATTTTACCTTTGTTGGTAAGTTTTATGAACAGAAACAAGGACTTGCGATGGTACCTCGCTTAGCTCCCATCTTAGCTAACAACTATATGTTAAAATTGATGAACACTATTAGGAAGATACGTGAATCAGTATTTTGTCATCTGGCCTTATGGTAAGGAAGACTTAGATTCTTTCCTACTTTCACTTAACCACTTTAAAAGGAACATTAGATTGATGATGGAAATAGAAGGGGATAGGTCCTTATCCCTTTTGGATGTTCCGATTATTAGAGAAAAGGGCAAATTAGGAAGAGATGTTTAAAGGAAGCCAACACATGTTATCCTCTTTCTGAATTTTCTTTCTAACCATAGTTACAAAACTAAGGTTGGAATTTTGAAATCAAAGATTATTAGAAGTATGAAACTAGCGGATAGCAAACATTTGACAAAAAAGTTGGAACGGCTGAAAAATTTATTCATGGGCCATAATTATCCTGTGGGTCTTCTCTGGTTGAGACATTTTTTTACTTATTTTATCTCAGTAGCTATAATAATTGCTATCCAGCTCATTCCATTTTCAGATTGAAAAATTAATTTATTTTCTATCAATGCTATTACTTTCATTGATCGTCTTATATGACTTTATTTAATCACTCATCCAGATGCCCTATCCAGATGTTGTACCCTTGAGCTCTGCTGATCCTCTTACTGGCGGCCTAGAAAATTGGAGTCAAGAATCGCATCTTCACCGTCAGGTGCATCATCATCCTGTCAAAGTCCAATCCCACAACCAGCAATCGCAACATAATGTGACCCAACAACAGCATCCTCATCAGCAGCGACACCAAATGAATATGCAACAACAGATATACCTACAGGCCAGCCCATCATCTACCCATGGCTCAGCCAGGCGTCCTCAGCAGCCGGCAAATCAGCATATTTCCCTGACCAACACGATTGACACCACTAATACTTCTTTAAACCAACAAGAAGTGCCTCGTCAGGTTGTAATAGGTGAAACTTTGCCTACCTGTTGGGCGAATACAACTCAATCGTCCACTGCAATGGCAACGATCCATACTAGACTGACAACTTTCACTCCTTCTCTTGGGGAGCAGCTTCAACAAGTTCGCCATGAGGTCAGATCTGAATTAAGACAGACACCCAATCGGGATGATCGACCTTCGACACCTGAACTGAGAAAGGTTGTTATTCTTGTTTATTGACATTTATTTACTGCATTTACATGTGTGCGATTTTATTTAGATAGGCTCATATTCTCTACTTTTGCGGTATACTTAATTATACATAAGGCGTCAATATACTGCCTTGCCAACGGGTCGAAGCAGGCCAATGCCAGAATTTTATCCTGAATGCTTTCAACTTTCAGCTGACTCGGAGGTCGAGTAATATGCTGTTAGGTATAATTTCACTAGAAAGCTTAGTAATAAACGAAAAATAGTTTCACTTTGCATAGCTTCCTTTTGATCTTTGATTTTTTCTCAATCATTGGGGAAGATGTATGTTTCTGCCTCATTTGCTATTATCTTGTTTCTGTGTCCAAGCGCTCATTAGGCATGTTCTCAAGTTTTTTGCTGCCATTTTGATAGAGATCTATTGAAGAGAGCTATTCTTAGCAATTTATCACTACTTACGCAACTGATTTATAAAATCATTTTTTAAACCTGAATTTCTTTGACAGTAATGACACTTTTTATATCATTTTTTCTTATCCAACTCCCAACGACTTTCCTCAACCTTAATATGATCAATTTAATCCATTGTTTTCCCTGATTGAT